ACAAAGAGTCGAAGGCGAACGAAATTAGCGCGTGTTCCAAATCCTCGCGTAGGCGTTTCGCAAAGGCGCTTTGCAATGAGAATAATGTAAATCGCAAATCTATCATAAATTCATCACAAGTATCAAATTTAATTCAAAATATTCTAAATCCTAATAAGTTTAATATCAAGATTATTAAATTAATCAAGATTATTAAATTGCGTATATATCAATTAGTTTTTCTAAAAAGTTTATTAAAAACTTTTTATAATAAGTACATTTTAGGATTATTATCAAGGAAATATTCTTTATTAAAAATCTTTATTAAATTCTTTATTAAAAATAATCGTTATCTAAAAAAAAGAAAAAGAAAGAAAGTTGAATAATTTCTTTTCTTAACAATAAAATCATATTTTTCTGTGACATAAATGGATATTCAATTTATGTTGATGCTTTTTTGATCGCCAATACTGTCTCATCATTTAAATCGACTTTTTAAGTGGTTTTTAAAATATGATTTCTGGAATTGTGTAAACCGTGTTGTCGTCAGATTCTTCGAGAAAAAAAGATTCTAATCATTCCAAGAAAAAAATAGTAATGTATAGTCTTGGTAATTTTGATAATGTTTGGCAATTTTGATTAATGTATGCAATAAATCTATTAATACTCTCTCTCTTCTACGATAATTCAAGAAAATACACATATGTTCTGTCACGGAAATTTCCAATTCTGAATTCAAAGCAAAAAGGATTTTCTCATATATTTTCAGCTAAAAGATTAAGATTAAGTTTTGGATCTCCTAAAAATTAAGATATAATCCACAAATTTCTACTTCAATCCAAAATAGATATTCTTTTTGTGACAAATTGTGGCTTATTAGGTGGATATAAATAACAATAATTTACGGAGAGAAATGGATATGGATTAATGTATTAATGAATAAGAAACTCTTTAAAAGACTTTTGGAATCACACACAAAAATACTGTAATAATAATTATTATTTAAATAATAATTATTTATTTAAAATCTTTCAAAGATTCATATACTCGCAAATCTATCATAAATTCATCACAAGTATCTATCATAAATTCATCACATCAAATTTAATTCAAAATATTCTAAATCCTAATAAGTTTAATGTCAAGATTATTAAATCAATCAAGATTATTAAATTAAAACAAATTCGATTTGCTTATTACATAAAGTCGCTTCTTCAATTAAATTTATAATGTATTTGTCAAAAGTATTATAATGTATTTGTCAAAAGAAAAGAAATTCTTGTTTTGCGTATATATCAATTAGTTTTTCTAAAAAGTTTATTAAAAACTTTTTATAATAAGTACATTTTAGGATTATTATCAAGGAAATATTCTTTATTAAAAATAATCGTTATAAAAAAAAAAAAGAGAAGAAAGTTGAATAATTTCTTTTCTTAACAATAAAATCATATTTTTCTGTGTGCAAATGTCTAGAATCTTTGAGATGGCGTGGGCGTTTTGCACAACGTTTTGGGATGCGTGTTTTTTAGATGCGCACCGGATTTATTCGTGCAGAGGCTCCGGGAACGGGAGCTTACGCAATCTAGTCCCGCACTCCCGAATAAAAGTCTCGCTGGATCACGGCCGTCATATATTTTTAGAATGTTGACGAGTTAGATCGTGGGGTGTAAGCTTGAGCAGACTTGCCAGACGCGTATGCAAAAGGGCGGGGCCCCGAAAAGAAGTGACGCAAACAAACGTCGCCGAGAAGAACATCCAGGAGTCAGGATTTCCATTGTTCTATCTCAATAACAGCGAAGAGCGTCGACCATCGTTGAAAGAGATTCAATTGACTATTATCGGCGAGGATAAAGACAATTTGATGACACAGAATAAAATTCAATTGTCGCAACGAAGAAGAAAGTTTGATGAAACTCGAACATTATTGAACGCTACAGTGAGATTTTTTTTTTTTAATTCGCTATTGAACGCTACAGTAAGATTTTTTAAAGACTAAATCTGAATGAAGAATTATGCAAGTACCGTATGATATAAATAAAGAAGATGCTTTATCTTGCCCCGTTACAATTATCTTATTCTTGAAACTGGTTTTCATGTATTGCGAGTGGGGAGAATGTCTCGATCCCGGATGTCATCAAAGTATCACGTAGTATACTTCAATACCTTACAATTCGATGTACCGTAATGCGGTATATCCCATTATACGCGGTTGGCGTGTTCCAATGTAATGCAGGGATTGACGCAAACGAGATACTTTTTTTTTTCCTTTGGTTTATTTTCAATTTTAGTTATTATTAATTTAACTAAGTTATTCTTAGATATAGGTAGACGATCTGTTTATTAAAAAAAATTTTATAATTAGATAGGGATTAATAAAACCTAACGGATCCTGGAACAAAATGTGACGATATCAAATAAGACTTGGAAAATACGTTTTCAAAAACAGATACATATGGCCATTTGTGATTAATTAATTGTATTCGGAGTACATTAATTGATATCACAGATAAAGTATGAGGATGATATCCGTTTTCAATTCAAAAATAAAATCACTAATGAGAAATTGCATTGAACGAATTGACGCATATTCGAATTAAAATTCATAATGCGTGGTAGAAGAATTAAATAAAGTATTTATAATCGAATGACAAATGTAGTACAAAGCTCAATGCACATAAAATGTTTCAGTTTCTATTTCAAACAGTAATTCCGAGAAAACGGGCTAATATTTATGAATTAAAACACGATATGTGATGCATTATTTGGCAAATTAAACTCGAACAATGTAATCAATAATTCGGAAGATATTAATGAATATTATATTATAGATATTATAGATATTAGATATGAAATATGAATGCTTATCTCGATTCTGAAAAAAATTCAGAAAAATATTATACACGCACAATTTGACATTTTCGAAATGTTATGTTCATTATTTCTATAATATTCATTAATATCTTAAAATATTGGAACACACACACTTTTCGAAATTTCTGAATTTTTTTCAGAATCGAGATAAGCATTCATATTTCACATCTAATATCAACAATATTCATTAATATCTTATGAATATTAATAAATTTAAAATTATAGAAATAATTAAAATAGATAACAACACGATGCATTGTTTAGTGGGTAATGGCTTTCTATCAGTGAGCAAGAAAATCGTGTACGCGTAACCTATTGTCCTCGTTCAGTAACCCTAATAATAAATGCCATTTGTCGCCAAGAGGATCTCGCGCTTATGCGTCGTTAGCAGCAACTTTCTCGACTGCCATTTCAGGGACGTTGCTTGCAACGGGTTTTTTTTTATAGCCAGTATCCAAAAATTCATACCTACGTATATTATTCGATATACCTCCGAGTTTTTTATAAGAAACACTTGATACAATAAATAATCTATAATCCAAAAATTTCTCAATAGATTTGAATAAATATTTACAATAGATATTGAGATGTAGAAATTATCTTATCAGATACTGAAATGACCTACGCGTATCAATTGAAAGATTGGGAAATAACGGCCAAAATTGCTTATCTCTTGAGATACATTCTAAAACGTTTTCTCCGAGCAAAAAATTTTACTCGAAATATATAGTACACGTAACATATACTATATATAGCACAGAGAGTAAATTTTCCTAGGAGAGGAATGTTTTTTTTTGGAATGTAATTTTGAACAATTTTTAAGCTATTATATTATCATTCAATAAGGTATTTAATTTATTTTACTGAAAAATTTAACTTGCACCACTGCTGCCACGAGCTTTCAATTACTATTTGATTGTAGTCGCAATTGATGCAAACAATGTCAATTTGATAATTGCAGATCGCGATAATTAATGATTGTTATGTTTATTAATATTGAACAAAAGATAAAAATATTTCAAACTTTTAAATTTTTCACATTTCCTGCAGAAGTTTAACTGGATGTTGTAACCGTGAAAGAAAACAGTTATATTACGTAAAAATAATAACGGATACCTGTAAAGATAACTGAATGTTAATTTAACATGATATTCCTGAAAATTTATGTAAGTTAAACTATTTTTTATAATCATTTAATCAGAGAGCGTATTTATAATCTCAAAAGTTCCATCTCAAATTCATATCTTGATGAAAATTACTGCGATAATTCCGACGTGATTTTAATTGCAAATAAACGCCTACTGCGCTCAGTAACGCGACGAGCACAAAGTCCGTTTTCTTGCTTCATTTAACCATCATGGTATCAATTGATTGTCCGAAAAAAAATATGTTACAAGTGGCGTTGATTGTCATTAGAAGCTATTTTCTCCGAACATGAAATTCGAGGTATCGCCCACATCTTCAGAGTTGTATGCGATCTTGATGTTGCCGCTTACGTAATTCGTGCTATATGCATTTTTATTATTGCAATTAGAAACGTGCATACGTCGTAGATAAGAGAGAATAAATTATAAAGTAAAAATATTAGTATTTTTCAACTGCGCGATCGATTTTAGAATCAAATTCTAAATAATTTTTTTGGGATAATGAAATTCATATTAAATTCTTACAATATTCAAGCTGTTAGAATTATTTCTCATTGCATTATTAATTTTACGCAGCAATATAATAACTAATAATACTTCGACGTTATCATAACTAGAAGGAATGGCCTGATAACATCAAATTATATTGCCACAATTGATTTTCCTTTGAAGGCAATGATCTTACGATTATATACTACCTTCGTTCACGCTTCATTTAGCGTCAAGTTTTTTTGATTGAATTCGTGTTATGTAACGAGACTTTATCAAATGCTTAAAGAATTTTATAAAAAATACTCAACTTCGTATCTCCGAAAAAAAAAAAAACAAAAAGGAAAGTTTTCAAAGAGTTATGAGTTTGATATTTTCAGCAAATCCGACGAAATAACCAGCCGACCTCGAGGACCTCTTGATCGGTGTTATCAAGGTCATTGACGACCTTGAAACCCGTTTACCTATCATGGCCGCTATTTCGGCGATATGCCGTTGTCATACGGCGATACTGACCCGCTTCAGTTGATTGCCCATGATATTCTGGAGTTCGTTCTTTATCAGACTGAATTTCATCATCGTGTCGCTGGAGAATATGGAACAGCCGAAGGCGAGCCCGGGATAATCGGCACATCTCTTCCGCCTGCGGGCCTCTCTCTCAGCCTGAACCTCGGTACGTTCGCTGGGACAACGTAGCTTAGCTAGCTCTGCCAGTTCAGGATCCTCCTCGACGTTGGTAGACTCGTCATCGGAGTTCCCGTCGCCGCGTGCCCTCGCGACCGCGTGCTCGGGCTCGGGCGAGTTACTCTTGTTTCGCGAATCGCGTTCGTCGCGATCTTCGGCAGAGTTCTTCCTACGAGGACTAAATCGGTGGGTTCTTCTCTTTTTACCCGGCCGATCCTGGATCTCGTCGTGCTTGGCGTCCTTACTCTCGCCGAGCACGGGAACGTCCGGGCTACACTGCGCGAGCCTTTGTCGGACGTCATCGTCTCTATGATCTCCTTCATCATCCTTTTTCTTCTCCTCTTCGAGTATCTGGGTTTTCGAATCTTTCGTCTCGATCTCGTTGATCCTCGTGGACCATCTCGTGCCGAGTGTCACTTGCGGCAAAGACGGATCCGTCGCGCCAAGTCGATCGTCGACGGTCACGTTGACGGGTGACGTCTCGTCGCCGGTAAACGTGGTGTTCCTGGCGGTATCAGCAGGGCCACACTGCGCGGGTCCTCTGCTGGAGGCGTCGAGACGTCGTCGCGTGGTGTGCCGCGGATGATGCTGGTGACCACGGCGTCTGGTCGTTGCCGAGACCGCTCGCTCCATGTCGCGTCCAGCTGTTGTCAAGCTCTGGCCAACAACCGAAACCCCCCGCGTTGTCCAACACGTTGACGCGACGACACGACCCGTGCGATATGCACCGCTCTACTACCACCGCACTAGACACTCCGCCATCTTGTCTGTCACTGATCAAGACGCACGTTTCTCCCCCGCGCCGACGACGTACTGTCCACCGGTTGTGTTGCACCGTCACGTCACGCACACGCAATACGACGGCGCGTACACAAAGAATGGGATCGCGCTGTTCTACGCCGTGCACTGGCCACGCTGTGTCTGTCTCGCTCGCGCGCACGGCGACCGAGAGCAACGTCCCCTCCACGCGGTTAAGCGACGCGCGAGTGGGATGGAGTGGGGAGAGCCGAAGTCGCCGAAGGTTCACGAGCGTATAACGCGGAAGCTGCGCGAATCACAGATGAACTGTTCGCGGAGGACAAGTGGACGCGCCGCTTGTTGACATGCGAGATGCGCCTGCGCGAACAAGTGGCGCCATCAATCGGCGCGCACTCGCATTGTGCGTTGCCGGTAACTATTGTTGAGGCGGCATTTTTTTGCGGGTCAAGAGGTCCTGGATTATGTCTAATTTTGTTTCGTAAAAGCCAAATTTACAGCTTTTTTCAAATCTAACGTTCTGATTTGAATAAAATAAGTGATATAAATAAAATTTTTCTGTTACGCAAAATTTCAGAATCTTCTTTTCTTCTTGTTTTGGATATCAATGAAAATTACATTATATCTTTTGTTTTTGTTAGCGTGAATAAATGCGAAATGTGAAAACTAAATATATTATAATTCTAAGGATTTGGAACTCTTTGAATACTTTTCGTTTTGAAATTTCATATTTCGCTGAGTAAGCAGAATCTGAATCTAGAATATCTAACGATATCGGCAACTTGCCGTCAGAAATAGAATAAAGCGCCTATTGATATACTTTGTCAACAGATTGGCAATAAAAACAGAACAAAATGCGCTGTTCTTAAATGTCAGTTTCTGCTGCTAATCTGCTGTCAGATTGCCTCACGTGCTCGATTTCTGCTATCACTCTGTTGGCATCAGCATATCAGCAGATTCTATCGACAGATCCTGAATTTAACGTTGCTGCAAATAGCTGAATGAATCTACAGTTGGAATCTGATTTACTGTCAATCTGTCAGCAAATTATTAATATTTTGCTATCTGAGCTGTTATTGGAAGTAACTAAACTAAAGTTCTATATAAAGAAATTTGTTGAATATGTCAGAAAGTATAAGGCAGAAAAATTAAAGTGTCCACAGATGTAATGCTAATTATATTTGATCTTAATTAATTATAATAAATCAAAATAATTATTAAAATTCATTTCTGATTCGATCAAGCAATATTGCCAAATATTTCTTCATCTTTATGGAATAATAAAAATATTTGCTCGACTTACGTTTTGCAGAGCCTTGTCTTTCTCCTCTAATTTCGCGTTGACCTGCATAAGAGCTTCCTGAGTTTGGTCAAGCTCATTCTCGATAGTCTGGATCTTTTTTTGCAGGGCACGAGCCTCTTCCTCAGCCTGTGTAAATCAATATATCTCAATATTTCTTCATATTACTGTTATTTAAAAAATGGATTACAATAATTTAGCTTAATGTATATTTTTGAAATACCTTTTTGTGCTGACACTTAGTATTTTTAGCATTAAAATAGCAAATCATATGATCAAATTTGACACTTGATATTTTGACGTAGCATTTTGACGCTAAACGTGAGCGCCAGGCGTCAGCATAAGATTGTATTTTTATCGCTATTTCAAAATCATGAATAAATTGTCAATCAATTCAATCATCTTTAAGTTTATCACATCAATTATCTAAATTCTGTATATATTTTCGTATATATTTTTGCATGTGTATGAACGATGATTGATTTCAAAGTTGTCGTGAAGAATAATAGTTTTTTATACCTTTTCAGCTCGCGCATTGGCATCACGAGCTTGCTGTTCGCAAAGCAACGCGCGATCCATCGCGTTGTCCTTCTCCAGCTTCATTCCCTGCATCTTCTTCTTGATCGCATCCATGGTGGCGTTTGTGTCTCCTCACTCGTCCAACAGAAGAAAATCTGTGGCATCGGACAAGAATGCGATTATAGATAAATATACAAAATTCACGGACTGATTATGGAGTATTCCTTTTTCTTATTCTTCTCTTGTATAACAAGATAGAATAAAATAAAATTTTTCCATGTAACACAAGTCTAAATAAAAATATCGATATGTACTTTTTTGTCAATCATAATTAATTGCGTGTAAAATCGTAAAACTATTTAAGCAGAGCAATAAGTCACGATAATATCAAAATGACGTTAAAATAAAATGTTTAATTAAAAAATAATTTTTATAGTAATCATTTTGTAGCTATTTTGATGTTATTTTAATGTATTGTCATAATGCTTTGCGTTATGTTTGAATAAAGTATTATAATTGCAATATATTGACTTGAAAAATGCACTGACAAAAATTATCACAATTGTGTATTCGATTAAAAAACATAGACATATTAATTTACTGATCTGTTCTACTCGACAATGTCACGAAAAATTCTTGTTATAATTAATTTACCATGACATAAAACCATCCAATTAGCGAGACTTTTTGCTCGCCTCGCTTTTACGCCTTCACTAACCGAATCCTAAAGCGCTCCGATGAACAATTAAGCATGCTCCGTTTTTTTTCTCGCGCATAATAATTTTCTTTGTTCGCGAAGAGGAATGCGGCCTCTATATAGCCTCCTCGCAACGATATATAGGGTGAAATAGCGCACGCTACAATCGTTTGTGTGATCGTACGATCCGTTATTCTTCCGCAGCAACTTACGACGACGTTTCAAGGATAAGAAGGGGAGGAAACCCTAAACCCGTCACGGGCGCGGAAATGGGATTCTCTCGTGGCGCTCTCTCGAAAGTAAGAAAATTCCGGGCTTTGCTTTCTCGCGGATTCGCCGTTTGACGAACGGGCGTGCATAGGTATATAATTAGCAAGCGACCGGATATCCTATTTATAGAGCCGGCTCCTCGCTGAGGAGGGCCTGGGCAGTGGAGGAAGGCGATATCAAACGTTTGCGCATCGCTGCCTCTTTTCGTCTCGTGACGTCATGCTGCTCAGGTATGCAATCCCCGTGCACGAACGAACAGGGAGAACAAAAATCCGTCGCGACTGCATCCCTGGTCGTTTATACAAATCATTCTTAAATGGCGGAACATTTTTGCGGTGCGGTCAGAGAATACATGTCAGAAACGGTTCACCTCTCTCGACGAAATCGTTATCTCGATGAGTCACGAATAACTTTAAAGAATTCCGTTTTATGGAACGGTATCACATAATAAACGTGGTTCGAATTTCAATGACGAAACCATCGCAACGCGTCTTTGCTGTGTATAAAGACAATAAGCGATGGTTTTATCGATATCGCGATATATGTTGAAAACTTTATGTATTTGATTGTACTTGAAGAATCAATCAACTGATATCGATAACACTAACTACTGAAGACGCACTGCGATAATTTGATTTTATTTATCTTTTCTCATGGAAATCGTTACTATTATTATTATAGTATCGTACATTATTTTACATTATTTTACAAATATAGTTGATTTCTATTTTCTTTCTTATTCTTTTCTTTCATTCATTAAAAGGAGTAGTAATGTTTCAGATATATTTTTCGTAAAGTGCATCCTCTTTCATGATGAGTTAACTTTTGCGTTCTCTGCCCAGAATAAAAATGTATAAATTGCTGAGAATGATACAAATGGATTTGAAATGGAACGAAATTTGTCATTTGCATTATTAAATATTCGTTTAAAGAATAATCTTGAAGAATCTCGTGCCTGCGCCACTGCAATTGCATGTATGGTAGAACTGCATCTCTGTTTCTACCGAGAGAATACGCGAGATTCTGAGCTCGCTGGTAATCAGAGATGCCTGGTAAGCAGAGAACGAAAGGGAAATGAAGTTTGTGTGATGTTCGTGAAACAAAAACATTAGTCGAAAGATTCTGCGAAATTGAACGCGGAGTTAAATGCACGTGTAATCATATTATAAACATTTATACGTAATTCCGACGAAACAAAATTCTTGCGAGATGATCGGTTCCATTTGCGCGCTCGTTGATTTCAGTCTTTATTTTTTTGTTCAAGTAGAATATTTTAGGCGTGAAGATTCCGAGAGCATGGCTAGCAAGGAGGATGCATTGATAAAAATTCGTTGTAAGGCGGAATCTCTCGAGGGCTATTGCACAAAATTTCGATTTGATGGGACGCGCGTTCCACGAATCCAAAAACGCGCGTATCGTAACCAACGGGTTTATTTTTACGCGTCAAGAGGAGGAGAGGGTGGTAAGATTCGTTGCTGCCTGGCCAGGCCATTTCGGGTTACGCATAGCGGACGTCGCGCTGATTCCCAAACGCACCGACCGAGTGACTTAACTCGGTGGTGTCCTATTACGCGCTTGGGAGAAAAAAATCGATTGCAAACCATTGGATATCTGTCTCATATCGCGACTGAGAACGTTTCGGTGATTGTAAAATGGGATGAAATAAAAGTACAATATCGTTAAATAATATGTTAGAGTAAAGTTTCTTATGTACAAGTATTTTTTTGCAAAAAAAAAATAAAAGGGTATTTTTTATGCATTTCTCTTTTTATAAAGATTTATCATATATTTTTTTAATAAAGAGATGTTTTCTAAAATTTAACAGTAACTAATATTAAATATTCAAAATAATTCTTTATAATATAAAAGAAAAAAGAGTATTTTTTATACGCTTATTTATAAAGATTTCAAATATTTCTTGAGCTGTTAAATATAATTAATAAATATTAATATATATAATTCTATATGTATGTAATTTCGAAGTAGCATCGTTTCTTTTTTATTTGTTTGCATGTATCGTAAATCGACAGTAACGTTAGCTTATATTCCGAGTAAAACGTGCTTAGCTCAGCACTCTTGATGGAACGCGCCAAAGAAATTTGTCTCCATATTACGAAAAGATCAAAAGTCTGTGCACTGTGTAGTCACAATGATTACTCGTGAACGTGAAAAAAAATTCTTGTGAGTCACTGCATTCCGGAAGGTAGCAACCGCCACGGTTCACGATGATCCGTTATCGTGATGCATTTCTATGAAATTTCATTTTTTCGATGAATATTGAAGCTGTCAGATTATAATGCTATTTTTATTAAATATAATAAATTATAATAATTGAAACATCCTTGGAAATTTAA